AGAGCGCAGCTGATTGCCCTGAGATTTGAGACAGTGGAACCCGTCAGTAGAATGTCTCCTCTCCTGGCAAGGTACCCTCAGGCCACCAAGATGCGCTCAACGCACTAGCTAGAGGCGCAAGGCCGCAGGGCCGCAGGGCCACGATGGTGTGCTAGGCAGTGGCAAACTCAGCTTTCACAGACTTGGGACCTGCAGGTGCAGAGCCACGGTGGAGAGGCCAGGGTATCACAAACTGATGGATTTTGACAAGAAAGGAGGGAAAGGGGAGCTGGAAGAGGGCCGGAGGATGTCCAAGACTGGTGGGGGCTGCAGTGGCCACAGCGTTCGGAGCTCGGGGACCAGCACGGGGGTCCTAATGGTAGGACCCAACTTCCGAGTCGGCAAGAAGATAGGCTGCGGCAACTTCGGGGAGCTCCGCTTAGGAAAGAATCTCTATACGAGTATGTGGCTACCAAACTGGAGCCCATCAAGTCCCGGCCCGCAGCTGCACCTGGAGTACCGATACTACAAGCAGCTCAGCGCCACAGAGGGCATCTCTCAGGTCTACTACTTGGGCCCTTGCGGGAAGTACAACGCCATGGCGTTGGAGCTGCTGGTGCCCAGCCTAGAGGACCTGTTCGACCTGTGCGACCGTACCTTCACGATGAAGACGGTGCTCATGATCACCATCCAGCTGATCACACGCATGGAGTATGTGCACACCAAGAGCCTCATCTACCGGGACGTGAAGCCTGAAAACTTTCTAGTGGGGCGTCCGGGCACCAAGCGGCAGCATGCTATCCACATCATTGACTTCGGGCTGGGCAAGGAATACATTGACCCCGAGACCAAGAAGCACATCTGGTATCGGGAGCACAAGAGCCTCACGGGCACTGCACGCTACGTGAGCATCAACACTCATCTGGGCAAGGAGCAGAGCCGCCGCGACGACCTGGAGGCACTAGGCCGCATGTTCATGTACTTCCTTCGTGGCAGCCTACCCTGGCAGGGACTCAAGGCCGACACACTCAAGGAGCGGTACCAGAAGACTGAGGACACCAAGCGTGCCACGCCCATCGAGGTGCTGTGTGAAAGCTTCCCAGAGGAGATGGCCACCTACCTGCGATATGTGCTGCGCCTGGACTTCTTCGAGAAGCCGGACTATGACTACCTTCGGAAGTTCTTCACTGACCTGTTTGACCAGAGCGGTTCCGTGTTCGATTATGAGTATGATTGGGCCGGAAAACCCTTGCCCACGCCTATTGGCACGGTCCACTCCGACCTGCCCTCCCAGCCCCCACACTGGGACAAAGTACAGCCCCACAGCAAAAACCAGGCGCTGAACTCCACCAATGGAGAGCTAAACGCGGACGACCCCACTGCAGGGCATTCCTTTGCCCCCATCACAGCCCCGGCAGAGGTTGAGGTGGCTGACGACACCAAGTGCTGCTGTTTCTTCAAGAGGAGGAAGAGAAAATCACTACAGCGGCACAAGTGACCAGGCGCTTTTGGCGCATGACTGTTCTCAATGCTGCCCTCAGGCTAGCTTGTCCTTGAGGCCATGGGCCACCCACAGGCCAGCCAGTGACATGCCACAGCCCAAGTCAGACTGCAGGGCCGCCTGGCCTGGATGTGGGTCCCTACCTTCACGTAAGACTTTGGCCGAAATTTCTACACTTGTGTCTAGTCCTCCCCTCTGAGAGCATTAACTATTTAACAAGGAACAAAGGAAACCCAGAGGCCCGCTGCCCTCCCCGTCTGCCGAGTGAGTAGTGAGACTGGGCCAGGTGCCGCCACCGCCGCCCTTTAGTCTCATAAGGTCCAGCTTGTCTCCCTTGATCCAAAGGCCGTTTCCTCAAGGGGGGCAGGCCCAGCCCGGGAGGGGCATCTGCTGAGCTGGCTGCCCAGGAGGGGGCTCTGGCGCTGCTGTGCGGTGAGGCCAGCTCTGGTCCAACCCCAGACCAAAGGGGAAGGCGGGGACGGGGCCGGTCTGGCTGGAGCCAGCCCCCCAACCAAAATGCTGCACCAAAGCTCAGCCTGAGCGCAGCCCTGCGCCGGAAGGTGCACCTGTCCCGGAGACACCCCAATCCCTGGGGTAGGCATCAGCCCTGGGCCGTCTGGGCCCTTGAGGCTGGGGCTTCTGGTCTCCGCACTGCACAGCCGCAGGAGACAAATCACCTTAAAGCCCTGCGCCCCGCAGGTGTTGCTGCCCGGGTGCGGCAGAGCAGGTGGTGACCCCCTGTGGGTCCAGGAAGCTGCTGGGTGGGCAAGGCGCCCCCCTCCAGGGTGGTGGTCATTCAGGCGTAGTTCTGGCTTTACAAAGTGTACAGAAATGGCATTTACGTTTATCTGACCCTTCCTTGAAGCCATAGAATTTAGGGGCTTTTTTAAGAAAATAAAAAAAAAAAAAAATTCTCTTGAAAAAAAATTCATAGGCTGAAAGTCAAAGGGTGGAAAACAATACTATATGCCCCAGAACCTCAGAAAAAAGCGAGGGTAGCAATCCTGTTCTAGGATGGT